TTGTGTGTATGTAGAGCACATAAAACCGCTACTACTTTTCATATTCTTCTCATCTGGTGGTGTGAAGCTATATATGGACTGACTAATTTCAATCAATTTTTCTTCCCGCGGGCCCCCTACAGATGCCTCAGAGCTATTTATATGGTCACAAACTGGTGACTACACAGAAGCAGCAGTCGCTCTGGCAGATACAAAACTCTTGATTGTGTAACTCATACCCAAAAAACTAAGCAACCTAAAGTACAAGCGAAGCACGCTACACCTAATAGCGGCAATAGCCTTTGGTAATCTAATCATCGGTCCAATGCATTTTGTTTTATACATCAGTGATCGCACCTTCCAGCATTATTGCTGGTACTCATATAAGCTCTCGAATGAACTACAACACTCGTGTACTGTACATAATATTTATAATAATTTGCCATTTTTTACGTCCAGAAACCACAATATGATTATGAAGGACTCGGCAGAGAATGGCTACAGAAATTTTCACCTTCTACTGATCCTTAGTGTGCACCTAAATCAAAGTGCTTCTAGCATTTCCTCCTCGACAGAAATGCGGCAATATTTGCACACAATCTTGACAAAACAATTTGGGACAAGGTCAAAAATTGTTGCAAAGCTTGAGCCGAGCGGTGAAAACAGTTCGTTGTGGTTTAAGCCCGGTTACACTAAAATAAAAAATACAGACGCATGGCAGTATGGTTGCACAAATTGTCGCAGGAAAACACCATTATTCATGCTTGCCACCAATAGCTCTGACCCCTAGCCACTAGTAATTAAAAAAAAATAGGGACTCAAAAAGGAAGACATTTATAATTAAAATTAAAAAGCCATTCTGTATCTTAGAGGCATACTGAATAAGTATAGAAATACAATACAGGTGGTACCAATAATGACAATTAAACACGATGTATTGCAAACTTACCAGCTACCGTAAAACAATAAAAAAAATTCAGTGCCTATAAAACAGCCTGAAATGGCTTACAGGGATGCTCACAAAAAAAATGGGCCATATAGTATAAGGGGGAAGACTGGTCTTAGACATTTTTTTGTTTATTTCTTCAGTGATCTTGACAGAGCTGCACAGGATTATGCAGTTTGTTCTTTTGATTTCAAATGTTTAATTATTTTTCCTGTAACTTCTGTTGTTCCCAAGACAACGTAAGTTTACCCCCTATTGTTTAAGGCCACCATAAAAAAAGTGCTTAATTAAAATAGATATTCAAGATATGCCAACATAGACTTATGACTATAGATTAAAGGTATGCAAGAGTTTCTCTGTTTTAGACCTTTCTTGATTATTTTACAGCATAATGGACTATCCATATTCAAAAGTCATTCGGATTGTATTATAATTACGATGAGTAATTAATTAAACAAGGCTTGTGCTCTATGTATTTTGCTACCATACTTCCATTCTACACACATACAGGTTTCAATTGCAAAAAGAATTATTGTTGTACCTGCCCTAGCTGCAGAGATATTGAGGCCTCAAAATGGAACAGTCATAAATTTACTTTTTTGAGAAAAATGAAAAAAAAAAAAAACTGAAAACACACATCTTCAAAAAGCAACAATCATAGCACAAATATTTTGCAATCCTCATGAAGGTGCTCACAAATTCGTAGCAGAGCTTTTAACACAGGTGCCGGCAAATTATAAAGAAGCCTCGAAGTCGATTCCCCATATTTTGCAGGTTCTGCATGTTAACAGCACCAAGGATCTGGACTGTTAGAATGACATCACGAAAAAATTACCACTTCCTAGTGTGTGAAAATTTGCAGAAGGATAGAAAATACTTGCAAAAAAAATCAAATATGTCAATTTTAAAAAATGAATTTTTTATCACTTTTTGGTCCCAAAGACCAGTCTGCCCTCTTAACAATGCTTCTCATGTCTTCTTTCTAAAATTTTTTTAGGATGGCTTCTAATTATGCCTATTTTATGATGCAAACTCAATTTTTACATCGTACCAGGCAGTAAGCACAATGGTTGATAATGCATACTGAATGTACACCCAGATAATGGCACATTTCCCTCCCAAACCTACTTGGCAAAACAGTGAACTTAAATTAAATTCAAAGTGACACTAAATGCAACTATTAAGTCGACTATTGTTGAAATAGCGCTTCAGAAACCTCGTAGTGTTACTTCTGTGTCAAGGAAGTGCTCATTTCAAGAAAACACCAGGCTCGCGTGGAAGGCGCAGCACAGTCACAGCGAAAGCTAGAAGAGCGGCCTTTCAGAGCCTTTTCAAAACACTCATTGGGTAACTACTGCAACCACACTTTTATTTATACCCACTAGGGCATTAATAATAAATATTTTTGGGTAGTAGGCTGGCATTCGCTATGCCATTTTTCGTCATCCATCTGAGAAGCGTGGTATCCGCTAAACACTTGCAAGGAATTTTGCGCAAATTGTTCAAGTAGTGGCTCACAACGATGAAGAATTATGGCTAAAGTGGGTATGCGCCACAGTTAATAGGGGAACAGGAAAAAGTTTTTGTAATGAGTTGGAGCATTGAATGGCCCACTTGTTACGCTATTCACACTGTGCGACGACTGGTTGTTATTTTGCTGTTTTAAGACGTCTTTTAAGTTGTATTAACGTGATTGCTTTCCCGACATCAAGCCTGCCTAAGGCAAGTTTTCCAGCAAGTCACAAGCACCGACGTAGCTTAGTGGTAGAATACTGGGCTGGCACCTAGCAGACTCGTGTTTGAGCCCCACTGTGTCATTGGTGCTAGGTTTTTTTTTTTTTTTTTCCTAATCTCGCACGATGTGGTTACGGACGCTGGCGGAAGTGGACAACAGCGCATGACCCGAGTTGTGATCTCATAACAGCTTTCGCTGTAATAAAATCACACTTTAGTTGTCCGCATCGAGTTAGCACACTTCGAATGACCCGCCTCAAAAAGCGGACTATCTCACGTCACTGTAGCCGTTCACAACGTTGCCCGACTTTACTGTGCGGCCACCGAGACTAGTAGCCACAGAACAAAAGCAGCAGGAGGCCACAGCAGCAACAACGACCATTGATCAATTTCCTGCCATTGGCTCCGAGATGGCAGATGTGTTTTGCTCCAACTAGGCCCCGCTAGATGACACAACCTATCCAGTTTAACCACACAAAAATTAAATTTTTGAACCACTCGCACCATTCTCTAGAGTAATGCCCGGCAGTTCTTTTTTTCCATGAATCAAACAGATACGAACAAGCAGCGTTTTATTACATCTGTGGATGCACGGAACCTTCTTTATTTAGTGCAACTAGATTGATTACTAGCGATTAATTGTAGGTGTTTCGTCTGATGTCATCAGGGCAATTTTGAGAATTTCCTACTGCGGTGCATGTATTCTTGTGCATTTATCTTAATTATTGGTAATTAGGGCACTGCTGTTGATAATATTGTCATTTTAGATGTTGTCATACATTGAGCTTTCACTTTGACGTCGATTCTTATTTGACTTTAGTGTCTCTTTAAATGTCTAAATGACAGCAAAAATAAAGAAGGCAGTTAAAAGTAAGAGCAAATCAGAGAGCTTACTTTGGCGGCACATTAGAAAAGAACATACAGTCGAACATGGATATATCAAACTCGAAGAGAACAGTGAATTAGATCGATATATGAAAAATTCGATATAAAGAAATACAGGCCCCGAAAGCTTATCTGTAGCGGACCATCACCTACAATAGGCACATTCAAGAATGACAACTAATTCCACACACACAACAGAATGATTTATTTGCTTGGAAAAAATCGATAATCTTGGCCTGCTCCTTCGTTTTTGAAATGTTGAAAACGCTAGTCTCGATTTTATTAAGGCTGTCCAGGTGGGACAGCCCAATTCCCTCCATGTGGCCGAACGCTGTTGCCACTTCAACTGCGGAGTACACGCGTGTAGCCAGCGCCTCTCCAACACGATCCTTTTTGTCACATGCGCGGTCGGCCTAGACATTGCAGTCCGCTTCCACGAAGTTGTCCGCAGACACTTCATGTGGAACTGCTGCCGGGAAGCCGGTTGACAACTCGCGAAAAGCATATGCGCTCGTTGTCCTCTTCACCGGTCTCTGCAAGTTCCGTCGTCTCGAAGCCTGCTTTGTGGAAGCAGTTGACCATTGTGTCCGTCTTCACATCTCGCCAGACATTGAAGATCTCCGTGGGAGAAAACTTCACAGAGATTTCCGGCCACTCCTTCGTCATTTACTGCTGGTTGTCCTGGCTGCTGACAGCTTTGCTTTCACCAGAAATGGCTTCGCTAACGATATTGTAGCGCTGCCTAAATTGGTGAAGCCACCCGCTGTTGTCGGCGAAGTTTCACTGAGTGTAGTGGCAAACCATTTGGCCTTGGCAATCAGCATCGGGCCATCCACCAGAACGTTCTTCGCACGCACTTCTAAAAACCAGGCATAGAGAGCCTTTTGTACATTCCCGTGGGCGGAAGCACGCACATGACAGGCTCCCGACGTTTGCTGCTCCGCTGCCTTTGCCTTGATATCTGCCTTGTTTTTCAATAAAGTACTCAAAGTGCACCGTTGTATCCTGAAGTCATCCGCGATGGGCAAACATTTCTCCCCCGCCTCAACATGCTGAATAGCCTTCAATTTCATCGCAAAGTCAAGGGTATTGCGCTTCTTGACGCTGGCCACTGCTACATGAAAAGTCAAAAATTCAGAGTCCGAAGTGGCTTTGCACAGCATGCACGCGAAAAAGAAATGCTGCACATGCGGTAGTTCGTAGGCAACGCGACAGAAGAAGCAACTAAGCCACAGAACACCAACACTAAGCACTCGCGAGGTGAGGGCCACCTGCGAGAACAACAGCAAAAGGCAGGAACAAAAAATAAAAGGCGAAAGGAGGAGGACAGCAGCACCTTCGTGCCTGCTCTCCGAGCCGACGGGTATGCGGAGAAAGCATGAGAAAAAGAAAGAGAAAAGAAAAAAAAGCCTTTCCACATGTTAGAGATTGTGCAGTGTGAGCCCTCTCACTTTACCTTTTTTGGAACGTTTCGAGCTTCGGCGGAAGCCTGGTGCCGCTGGAAAGCAGTGGAGGTCGCCTGGCGCTGCGAGTGCCAAAATGCGTCTTGCAACTCGCGCGCGAAGCCGCGCTGTCACAAAGATTGCGAAGAGGGGGGGGGGGGGAGCGAGTTCCGAAGCATACCTTCCAGCTCGGGTGGCATTCGATATATCCCGAAGGTGGATAAAAATACCGTTCTATATAAATGTGCGAATTTCTATACTTTTACATAGGAATTTCAACGGATAACTTACGAGTTCGATATACCCGAAAATTTCATATATGTGGGTTCCATATATCTTTGTTTGACTGTGTTGAAGTTAAAAGACAAAAAAAAAGCACAACAGGCAAGACATGGTTGATCCCTTCGTCACAGGAATCGTCGCTATAACATGAAAGTAAAACATCTCGTTACAGAAGTATTTAAGTGCATACTGTACATCGGTATAAGAGAGGTTATACAATGTCTGTTGGTGTTCGACAGTTAAAGTACAGTTTTTTGTAAATACATCCCCTTTGATGCTTAGTGATACCTTTCTATCCCGACAGTGAACCTCCATGATTAATGACTGATTAATGATTAAACATGCCATGATAGTCATGCATCCGTGTGGTAGCTGTAGTGAATGGTGAGAGCGGAAACAAAGAAAGTGGTGTGACAGCCAGAAGGGTGTGACTGATTGTATGCCAAACCACCAAACTTCGTTTAAGGTAACCTACTTACGGCATGTTAGAGCTATAGAACGCCCACTGTCCAAATACAAAGAAATTCTACACGCGCTGTGCCTTTTCTGTTGGCCGGCCACAATTTTTCACGTGGCGAGCTGAATGCATAATGCTAAAGGAATGCAGAGTTACATCCAGGTGAAGCAAACGCGTTGCTCTATGCGTTGCAGAACTATTTTTGGTGTGGATGAATGCTATGAACCAGCTGAAGCTTTGTGTAAAATCATCACCTGGCAGTGTGTAAGACATTGACAAAACTGCGCTTCTCCAATATAAAAAGCACCGAATAGGACGATGAAACAGCACGTTGAACGATATAATTGTAGATTACATGGTCATGATCAGTTATTACACTTTAGCAAAAGTACTGTGAGAGGGCAGCAGTAGATATAAAAAGCGTGTTTTCAAAGCTTACAAAGCATGTAGCCATGACATAGTGGATAGCATACCCGGCAGATGTTGTCACCGACCAAGAGGTCATGTGTTCGACTCCCCCTTACAGCGCTTTTTTTTCTTTGTGTTCTGATCTGCGTTACTTTTAGACATCATTTGCGTAATGAAGGTACGTCACTGAAATGTTGGTGGACCCTGCCATAAAACACCTTCATGTAAGAGCAGTTCAGAAACCTAAATAATGTACGAAATGCAAGCGAAGGGCAAACTAAGAAAGCCTTTCTATGAACAACCATATTATGATTTGAACTTAAGAGTACTTCGAATAGATATAGCAGGACGGAAATGGCACGGTATGACAAGATATTGTCTGTTAGATAAATGCTTGCCCTATTAGACCTAGCATCGGTATTGCCGATGCTGTAGTTATAATCTTAGTTGCACATCTATGAAATCCATCAAATCAATGAGTCAAAGCCACTAGATTCAAAGCAACCCCGTGATTCAGATTTCATACTGGAGCACCCCGCAGGACAGCGGAATAAAAATTTGTGCGATTATTGCTACATGCATTATAAAACACAGCACTGATGTGTGGCTAAAGGATAAGTGTCTTGGTACTGACACAAGTAAGAAGGAAAAAATGTAGAAAACAAAAGGCAAGTGCCAGAACATCTATGGTCACGGGCTCGTTTCAGCCGATACTTTGAGAGTGCGGTCATGTAGCTCAGCCTAACCAAGGAATGCCTGCCTTCACAGGTGGGCTCTGGTGGAAAGATAAAGTTATGTCGCTGTTCTTAGTTTTATTCAGGGATTTTAGAGGCACCTATATCGGCTTGAGAAGAGTTCAGTCAGTGAGTATTGTTTTTCACGGAAGTGTTGCAGAAGCGGTATCTTGGACCCTAAAATACATACATAATACATCACTGATGCAATTACTAGTCTAAAGAGACGTTCTACAATACAGAACCATGATACCTACAGAGCATATAATATAGTATTTAAGATATGTAGAATCTCATTGATACATTTTCTAAAAAAAAAAGCGGAAGACAAATGTATGATACGGAAAAAAGTATGATCTGAATTCATCACTGAGGCCGACAAGGGCAAAAAAAGATGTAAGGGCAAAAAATATTTATTCCTAAAAAAAACAGTAATTTTCTACTGCTGCCGCTCACCCGTGCAAAAGAAAAGCTCCTTCTGCACACATTGTAGACCCTTGTCCACTCTCTCATTGTTTTTCATGCAAAAGAAGCTTTGTAAAGCTTGCAGTCTAGCAAGGGCTTCAGCGAAGTTAGCCTGTCGGCGCTCGCTTTTGTTCTCGTCGCTGTCATTTGCGGTGCCTCGTCTCCCGCCTCCTTCACTGCATCACCCCACACCACCTTCGCAACGATCTTGGCAACACTTTGTGGCTCGCAAGTCGGGAGTCATCTATCGAGACGAACTCGGCGAATGGTACATCGGCACTGCTGGAGAGCAACTTTTCATCAATGTCGTTGTCGATGCCAGATACGCACACCCAGGGTCCTCTTCTCTGCGCTTTGTATCCTCCGATGAAAGCTACCGCCAAAAACTACACTTCCTCAAGCAGCTGCTAACCTTTTCACTCATCACACTGTCCAAGAAGTGCTCAAGTAGCGCATCGCTTCGAGAAGCGATAAGTTCTCGGCATGGTTCCCTGGATCATCACTATGACACTTGTTTGAACTTCGGAACTTACAAAGGGAGCAGACGTGTTTTCTGCGCTCTCTGTGTTTTGGCTGTTCCCTTTCACAAGTGGGCGCGCTCGCCTCGGCAGCATGTTGTGTACATTCGCGGCACGCTCTCGCGCGTCGTTCGCTAGCCCTTTGGATTACTGTGCTTTATCAAGCCTACAGGAACTCAATGACAAGAAAGACAAAGGCAAATGGGAAAACCAAAGCCCCTTCTCAACCATCTCGGCTAGCGGCTGCCGCTCCGGCAGCCACCACCGTGAGCAGCAGCTCAGTGAAAGCCCTAGCTGTTAATCAACTACTGGAGCAGCAGGCTGTATCTGCAATTGGCGGCTAGCTGTAACAGCAATCAAACGGGCCAACTCGAATGCCTCCAACTGCGCCACGCCTGTCCTGTCACTGACGGCTAGCAGTGACATCACTACTGGGGTCCCTGCCGCCGAGTCTGCAGAGGACATGAATACATACTGCTGACTGAGCGAGTTGGTGCATGATAAAATGATATTAGAGCAGCTCAGTTTGAGCGTGAAGGAAAGATACTACGCAGTCAAGAAGGAGAAAGACACACGACAGCGTGAGCACTAACTTTCAACTTTTATTTATTGCGTACCCCTTAAAACACATTATATAGCTTATTCCACATGACGCCACACACATGACAATACTGTACACATGTGGCACAGCACACTATCAAGGAAACCTAGTTGTGATCCGATTTCAAATTAACAATTCTATATTAATGCTTCACAGCACGCGCTCCAGGAAATTGAGCTATTTTTGAGATAAAGCCATAGACGGCGTACTCACACACAGCTTCGCACATTTTGCGATAGCGTTCGCCTCAATAATTTCCCTTGTCAACTGGTTCGGTGCATTCAAAGCTGATAAAACAAGGGATTGCCCAGTTATATTTCAGAAAGGTCCTGTTGAAGTGATGCCTTCACACTACGGCCCCTAGTTTTGCAAGACAAAGCAAGCGATTATCCTTGGCAGGCTACCCAGTGTTGGTGCAGGTGTCAGTAGCCGAGTGCCTGTTGCATGGTCCAGGTATGCGGGGACAGCCGCAGACCGATGGTGAGCCTGATGTTGGGAAAACCAGTGTGATTCCGTACGTACATCAAATTTCACACTATTTGAAAAAGATAGCCCTGAGAGGGAATGCCCGTGTGGTGTTCTCTGAACCAGACAAACTAAGCCGTCTATGTAAGCTTACGAACTCCAAGTAGGACGTGCAACCCACCTGTGGAAAGAAGCATGTAGCTAAGTTTGCTTAATGCGACCTAGCTGTTGTCTACATGTTGCTGCTATTGTGTGGCGCGGTGTACATTGGACAGACTGGTAGGTGTGTTAATGGTCGCTTGCGGGAGCACTCTTGCGATGTATAAAATAAGATTTCTTCTAGTGGTTTTCCTGGCTATGCATTGTAAGACATGTGGATGCACTCCATTTTTTTACCAGTGTGTCATTTTGGGCCGCAGTCGTAACCAGTTGACACGGGCAATTATTGAGGCGAACGCTATCGCAAAATGTGCGAAGCTGTGTGTGAGTACGCCGTCTGTGGCTTTATCTCAAAAAGATCTCAATTTTCTGGAGCACGTGCTGTGAAGCATTGATATAAAATTGTTAATTTGAAATCAGATCACAACTAGGTTTCCTTGATAGTGTGCTGTGCCACATGTGTACGGTTTTGTCATGTGTGTGCCGTCAGGTAGAATGAGCTATATAATGTGTTGTAAGGGTATGCAATAAACAAAAGTTGGAAGTTAGCGCTCGCACTGTCGTCTGTTTTTCCCCATCTTGACGGCACATTGTCTTTCCTTCATGCTCAAACTGAGCGGCGCTAAAGCAATATCATTTTACATGGACACCTCCGCAATGTTCTTCCTTGGCCCTTCCTTGGCACAAAGTAAGCCCTTCCTTGGAGCAAATATAACACTACGAGGTTTCTGGGCCACTATTTCAACAATCAACATGAACATAATGGTTGGCTTTAGTGTCCCTTTAAGGTGAGCCAGCGAGAGCATACGATGAAGAGGCTGATCACTGAAAGATGAGGAAGAAAAAAGAGCTCATTATTCAGAGACACAAAAAGAAAAGATCAAGGGGGGGGGGGGGGGGGGGGGGGCTCGTGCAGGTGAAACAGTTTGGTGAAACAGTTTGCACGTGAAACAGCTACCGAACCTGCATCGTACAGCACCACACGTTCTCCTCGTTATGTTTGCGATCTGCAGTTCATTTACATTCGTCATTCCACAAGAAACTAAATTAAGTACCTTCGCTCACGACAGGTGCACACAGAATGTCTTCAAACAAGCGCATAAGTGCGGGTGATTGCCATGACAATACAGCTGAAAGAAAATATACAAGATCTCCACTCCAGAGCTACTAAACGTGTTATCTACACCATGAGTTTCTAGAGTTTAGCATTGGAGCAACGCAGTAATAAATATTACCGCAATTTTGGCTAATAGCGGCCGAAATATTGGGCACATAGCAGCCGCCCGCCATTTTGACGTGGCTACCACCACAGAGAAAGGCCACAAGTGCACCACTTCCAAAGAAATGCAGAAGCATCGTTAAGACAAGCAGCATCGCAACGAACATTTTCTGACGGATTCCATCTTTCTTCTTTGGTCCCCTATGCGACATGCGAGCCTTTCCGAGAAGCTCCTTTTTCGTTTCACGAGCCCATACTGCGTGCTTCGACGAGCGACAGACGTTACATACAAATTTGGTCCTGATGATCCCTAAACCTCTTCTGCTGTGTTATCCTGTGACATTGTCCCCGTATCAAGGCTCAAGCGTTGCCACACTCCTACTGCTGTGGCTCCATAGACCCTCCGGGTCGGCACTTTCGCCACCGGGGATTGTGTTACGTGGCTTCCACTGCCTGTAGCAGGACTTAGTGGGACATACCCTGAAATGTGCCTCAAACTAGAAATCAAAAGATTGACATGTGTGTGAGCTGTGTTGTGGTTCCGGACTGACTGATGTTATGCCCACGTAACAATATAAAGAGCAGTCCGGTCATAGCCCAGCATGTTAACTGCATTGCAATGAGTATACTATCAAATGCCACTCACCTAGCTATTCGGATCATCATTTATCACATGCATGCGCTAGTGAGATGTGATATTTAATATGAAGGAATGGGGCTACCCAACAAACGCACCATCAAAGCGCTGTGATGGCGCGGACTCGTCCTTGAAGGCCACCTCAGCCTTGGTACCCAGGGACTTCTGGTGCTGCTCGTACGCCTTGCGGTTGGCCTCCTCCTTTAGCTGTGGGTCTGCAATCAGGGGCCATAAGAAGCGGAAACACACACACATATGTGCGAAGGGAAATAAAAACGGTGCCTTTCAGTCAAAAATGATTCAGCATTGAAAATGATAAACTGTTCCTGGTTTCCTAAGCTACCCAAACAATGACATCTGGCACATGAAATACATTGCACTATGTTGAAATACGCAAGTACTATATGTGCAGTTAACAGTACACTAAGCACAGAAACCATTTCAGTTCTAGCAGTGGCCCCAGAAATTTCCTCTCAGGATAAGAACACATTTTGCAAGTGAGAAGTTAGGCAAGAAATTGGTTGTCTGAGCTGAAGGACAAAAGTAGAACAAAACAAAGACAAATTACACCACCAGAAACTCCAGATTAACTGCTTAGAAAGGTCCAAGTGCAGATATGCCAAACTGATGAGATGCAGTTTGCAAAGCTACGGTGCTGCCAGAGGCTACCGAGTAACCAACTGAATGCTCGTCTCAAAAGACTTGAAACATGATGATTTTCTCACATTGTTGAGAATATCTTTATTCCTGATTTAAAAAACGTTACCCAAGTACGAAGGGGAATTCAAAATATCACCTAATTTTTTTCTACAGTGACAGTATGCACAGAACTCAGCGAAATTCCCTGCAGAAGTCATTTGCATTATAGTGAAAGACAGCTGTGAACCCATAGCTACTTTTTAACATTGCCTCCATGGTAGTCTCTCAATTCGGTTGAAGGCATGTTTGCCAGCACATGATTAACATTGCCTGTAATTTCCTCCAACAAATGCTTGACTGAATGTTTCCTTGGATCTCAACCAGTACTGAGCTCAAAGGCGGGCAACGGGAGGGAGGGAGCAACCCTCCTCTTAGTCACCTGTGGGAGCTGGGATGAAGTTTCACCAATTGCTGCCGTATGTATTAATAATAATAAAAAATTGGTAGATCCAACGAATAGTGGGTATCGATTATATCCAAAGCACAAATGAGAAAGGTGGAATCATCCCATTAAAATCAGCATAATGTTACAAGGCGGACATAAATTATGCCATTCACGACTTCCATATCATGATTATTACGTTGGCGCCAGGCATATACCTTTGTCATCCATTCACGTCCCGTAACACTAAATTTGGCATATGTGAAGCTAGGGAAACAAACGTGAGCAAATTAATTTTATTTATTAAATTTATTCATTTAATAAATACTGCTGCCCTAAATTTGCAGGCCTTAAGCAGGAATGAAGACCTTAAATTATCAGCAGGCCACGGGGCTTCCTGACGCCGAACTTCTCGAGCGCGATGTCTTGATGTCACTCGCGGAGCAATCGGCTCGATGGTTCCGAATAACCAGACATTCGCGTCCGCACGGTAGAAGAGTTCCGCGACAGCTGCAGTAACAAATTCCTACCGGCTAATTATGAGTAACGTTTGCGGAGGGAATTGGAGCTACGCGCCCAGTATCCGGCGAATCCATGTTGGAGCATGTACGGGCGATGAGCGAACTGTATCGTCTCACTAACCCGCACGCCACCAACGCAGAAAAGGTCAAGCGCGTTACCCGACAAGCGCACCCAACTGTATCGTCTCACTAACCCGCACGCCACCAACGCAGAAAAGGTCAAGCGCGTTACGCGACAAGCGCACTCGACTTTTGCAACGCACTTCAGGACATGCAAATTCGCAGACCAAGAAGAGTACGCCACCGAAGCGATGACGCATACAAGGGGACATCATCGAAGCGCGATCATGTTGCCCGCCTCAGCCCGCAGCACAATCAATCGAGCCTCGCTGTGCATGGAATGGCGGCGCGGTAGTCTAAGAAGCCTCTAAGGGTAATGCGATACCATCGTTCGCTAATGGGCATGTACCACGTGGTGAGGAGCTGTAAGACCGCACTTTGGATCCCTACCCTTACGCGCTCCGCACGGGCCACCCCTGCACATGACATTCCACAGCAGGAGCGCACAGTTGACACGAGTCCTGATGAGCGGCGCAACTTGGAGCAAGGACTACCTGATTGAGGCAACTTACGATCGAGCTGGCGTGGTTTCCGCAGTACTTGCAATCGGTGCGGCGCACCGGGGCACATAGCCCGCGAATGCGCCCGCACACCGTGTCGGGAGCTAACGCACGATTCGGGAAGCGGAGGGTGCCGCGGGTGATCCACATTGGGCACCACGCGGTGATCAGTAATCCTAGCGATGCGTTCGAATCACTTGTACCGTCAGTCTGTCACAGAAGTGAGGCCGTAGACTCGCCCCCGCCACTAATCGAGTTAACGATAGCTCGAAAGAAGTTTGCAGCACTTTTATATACTGAGGCAAGTGCTTGTGTATTTGATGACAACGTGTTGCACCATCTCCACGAGAACAATATTCGCTTAAGACAAAGCAACACCATCTTCCGCCTTGCTACGGGCACAGCACAATTGAGCAGCACAGCTAGGCTAGTGATCTGCTGAAAAAGACGCGTGAGGTGACATTTCGTGCATCTTTCTGGACTGTCAATGTCTCTAATCTTGGGTCGAAACTTCCTCGCCAAGTCGGGTATTGTTATTGACATTGCTAACGGCGGTTCGTGCACTCGCTTGCCCGTCCGTGCATCATTGCCGTGCATCATTGTTCTTGCACTCGCTTGTCGTCCGTCAGTGCATCGTAAGCGTGGCATGTAGTCATGTTCTTACACAACACGCATGTCATGATTATCATGTTAAGGTCTGTCACTTATGTTCGCCGTGCAGTCATGTCATACCATACCAGTTTTGGGATATGTCATGTGAACAAAACCACCAAAGGAGCAGCAAGACCACAAAATGTAAATCATCACATTCATGACGTACATACCATCATTTTCATGTTATGACTAGCCACTTATGTTTGTCATGAATGGATGGATGGCTGGACGTATGAACGGACGGATACGGTCAAACCTCCTGAAGTTCGCTAGGAAATGCTTTGGTTTTAATATAATAATAATAAAATTAATTATAATAATTATTAATAATAACATAATGATAATTTTAATTCACACAACAATGTGAGCTCTCGTTCAACCTGCAAGGCTAGAGAGGAAATTTTCTTACGATCGTCCATCTGCTAATCCGTCACAGCAGGGCGAAAGAGACTAGGGGCTACATGTATGAGCTTCTCAATCTGCTTAGAGCAGCTTTCAACTTGACCCCTGTCACTGTGTAGTCATGTTTACAAAGAAAAAATAAATAAATCAACAAACGAACAAGTTGCTTGAAGTGGAGCCACTATAGCGATCGTCGCTGTTTAAAGCCGGCGCAAAGCAAGTCGGCGTACCTCAATGTAGATAAATCTGCTCCCCCTCGCTACGCTTCATACATAACAAAGGAGTTTTTAGACAAAAAACTAAGTTCGCGGTAACTGCTTGCCACTGCCGCTGCAAATCACAACACGTGATTGATCCTGAATTTATGTCTTGCGAAGGCGTTCTTGCACTTCTGCTGGATATAAATGAAAAGTCGTCAGAAGGGCCAGACCTAATTCCAAATGCTTTTTTGCGCCGTTATGCCGAGCCAATATCGCACATTTTGACCGCCATCTTTCGCTTATGCTAGCGCCACTCAGTCTTGCCTGATGATTGGCGCCTAGCTCGCGTTGTGGCTGTCTTTAAAAAAGGAAATAGCTTGAAAATGGAAAATTATCGACCCATCTCACTAACATCAACCTGCTGCAAAATTTTGGAACACATAATCGCCTCTTTTATTAACAAATTTCTGGAAACAAACAGCGTTCTTTCCGAGTTCCAACATAGGTTCCGCAAAGGGCTTTCTACCACTACTCAACTTGTTACAACCACTCATGAAATCGCACAAGCCTTAGATTCACCCAGCCAAATAGATTTAGTCTTCCTTTACTTCTGTAAAGCCTTTGATCGCGTACGCCATGATAAACTACTCACTAAGTTTTCTTTTCTGGGCCTTCCTGCGTTTATAATTAACTGGATCAAATCATATTTAACAAACAGAACACAGTTTGTGGAAGTCGACGGGTGCGCATCTGAAAGTCTTGGTGTGACATGTGGCATTCCACAGGGCAGTGTTTTGGGACCGGTTCTTTTTTTAATTTACATCAATGACATAATATCTGCTATTGACCCGAGAATTTCCATAAAATTGTTTGCAGACGGCTGTCTTATTTTCAAGGAAATCACGGGCATTGATGACCAAGTCTTGTTAAACAGCAGTTTGACGGGAATTGGACAGTGGTGCACAACCTGGGGTATGAGCTTGAATGCTGACAAAACAGTTCTACTTCGTGTAACGAAGAAAAAACAACCCTTTCAGTTTTCCTATTCATTAAATGGTGCACCAGTGGTAGAAAAAAGCCAGTACAAATACCTCGGGATAACGTTCACCAATACTCTGTCGTGGTCAAAGCACATAGAAAACATCTGCGCATCTGCCACACGCAAGTTAGGCCTTTTACGGCATAAATTCAAAGCGTCACTAACTCATGGCAAATTACTGGCCTTCAAAATGATAATACTTCCTAAACTGCAATATGCTTCGGTCGTATGGGACCCCTTTCTTAAAAAAGATAAGTACCGGCTTGAAATGGAGCAAAGATGCGCTATACGCTTCATTTTCAACAAATATAGGACCACCGACTCGCCAACTTCTCTAATGCTGATGATTGATTTGTGGGGTTTAACGTCCCAAAACCACCATTTGATTATGAGAGACGCCATAGTGGAGGGCTTCGGAAATTTTGACCACCTGGGGTTCTTTAACGTGCACCCAAATCTGAGTACACGGGCCTACAACATTACCGCCTCCATCGGAAATGCAGCCGCCGCAGCCGGGAATCGAACCCGCGACCTGCGGGTCAGCAGCCGAGTACCTTAGCCACTAGACCACCGCGGCGGGGCAAATTCTCTGATGCTGGCAAATAGCATTTCAACCCTGGAAGATAGACCAAAAATCGATAGGCTGAAGCTGCTGTTTGCTCTTTATACTGGTTCCACAAAGGTAAATGCATCGGTAT